GGCCACAAGGTGTTGGGCACTGGCTTGGGGCAGGACATGGGATGGGGGTGTTGGGAGCTGGGCAGGGGGTTGGGGGAAGCCTGCTGGTGCCTTCACAGGCCCCCAATGTCCTTCTTTAAAGGAAGGGGCCCAGATCTGGGGCCTAGGGGGGCCCTGCTGTCAGTAACAGGCTCCTGGCCCTCCTTGGGGAGCAGCTCACTGACGTGGCAGATGCTCTCGCTGTAGTTGGGTGTGAAGCTCTCCACCACGTCCTTGGGGACACCGGCCCATTCCTGCAGAACACACCAGGGTGTGAGTGAGGCTGGCCCCATGCCCTCGGCTGCCCCACATGCCCCTGGCTGCCCCGTACTCCCCCAGCCACCCCACGTGCCCCCAGCCCTTTGGGCTCGGCTCCATCCCCTGCTGCAGCTGCAGGGAGCTGTGCCCTTTCCGTAAGGCTGGCAGGGGCGCTGGCTGGGAGCCCGGCAGGCCCAGGCCTGCTTCAGCCCTGCCTGCCTTGTGTGTCTGTCCCGCCTGCTCTGACCGAGCTGCTGTGGCCACAGCCCAGCTGCATGTTGGGCATGGGGGCGCTGGCCAGCACGGGCGCCACCTCCCCTACCTGGAAGTTGCCCTTGTGGGTGTTGAAGAGCTCGTCGAAGGTCTTGCTGGGGTTGGGCACCTGCGGCATGAAGACGACCCACACTCTGCAATGGGAGACGCAGTCAGCAGGGAACAGCCGCGCTGGGACTGCACCAGGGCTCCGGGCCTCCGCCAGAGCCCTCCACCCTCCCCTGCCCCCTGCTCCCCACAGACATGGCCCCAGGCACATGCTCTCTTCTCAGCCCCTGCACTCACCTCTCCATGCGGACTAGCATCACAACGAGGACCAGCAGCACCATGCCGGAGACCACTGGGATCAGGACTGTCCGCACCCAGTACCGGGGCATCGGCTCCCCGGTGGAGTCTGCGGGGGCAGGCCAGGGTCAGCCTGGCCTTGCTAACTGGTGGGCAGGTGGGCAGCACCAGCGTGGGCAGGGCCAGGCCCAGGGGGCTTGTGAGGCTTGGGCTGGGGCCTGGATGGGCAGGAGGGAGCCTGGGGGCGGTGAGGACTGTGCTGCTTCTCCACCCAGGAGTGGGGAGTGACCAGCCCAGGGCGGGGGGCTGTGGGCCCAACCCCGTGCAGGGCAGGCAGCAAGCTGCTGACTGGGGGTCAGCAACGGGGGTGCGCTGCGGCTGTGGTAGTAGCCATGGGCATCTCCACAGCCTCTGGCAGCAGGGCCTGCACGGTGACCCCTGGCATGGCCCCGTGTCCCTCCCACCACGGGCGCCCCCCAGCACTCACTGTGGGCCATTGTGTTGCCCCAGTACATGGGGACGCTCCACTCGCTCCAGAGCTGCGTGGAGCCGCAGTACTGGTTGATCTTGCTGCGCACCTGGAAGGTGTATTTCTTCTCCTCATCCACGCTGGGGAAGGAGAATAGCTGACCGCTCACCCCGTGCACCTGCAGAGAGACGGAGGTCTGGGGGCCGTGTGGGTGTGGGGGGGCCACAGCATAGAGCTCTGCCCCAAGGTGTGGGGAGATGGCCTTGGCCATGGCCCCTCTAGTCCCCCTTCCCAGGGCCTGGGCTTGGCCCACTTCCCCCCACCTTGACATCGCTCCCGGGTGGGACGTGAGGGGCCCAGCTGGGCAGCTTTACCGTCCAGTCTGTGTCCTTGTTGCTCTTGTAGCGCACGGCATGCTCCACACACTGTTGACGGGGGTACGGCGTGTGCCAGCTCAGCTGCAGCTGATGGTTGCTCATGTTCTGGAGCGTGAGGTTCACTGGCGGGTCGGGCTTCACTGCAGTGAGCACACGTGGGGTCTTGGTGGGCCACCAAACACCCCCACCCCCCCCGCCCCAGGGGCCGACCTGCAGCTTGGGCCAGCGCCAGGGGTGTGGCCTGGAAACCTCCCCCTGCCCACGGACAAAGGGAGCCCGTGCCCATACCCGTGCCCTGACCCTGTGTGCTCCCCAATCCCCAAGCGTCTGGCTGTGCAAGGGCCGGCTGTTCCTTGGTGGTGCAGCATCCCTGCTGGGTCCTGGCCATGGGGCTGGGCCGGGACAGGAGCTGAGGTCCAGCCAAAACATGACCCCTCGCCCTGGCTGTTTGGGCTGCAGGGTCAGGAGGGGGCCTTGGAGACCCAAGCCCCAGACAAGTGCCCGAGCTCTGCTCAGAGCTCCCACCTCACCCCAAGGGTCCTGCGGGGCAATGGAGGTCCTTGGGGAGACCTCCTGGGGCAGAAGCTGGTCATACCAAGGTCCTGGAGCTTCATGTCGTAGGTGGGGATGACTTGGATCCTGCTGCCGTGGCTCGCATTGACGTGGACCCGGAAGGTCTGGAACAGCGTGATCTCGCTGTGGCTGAACCAGCAGCCCGTGTTGATGCCGTTGTGCCGCAGGTAACGCCGGCACTCCGTCACCGCCGGCTGATGCTGGTACCTGCGCAGAGATGGGCGGGTGAGAAGAAAACCCACGCGCTCCTCCTGGTGGAGACAGGGTCAGAGATCTGACCAGGGAAGCGGTCCTCCACGGGCCCCGGCAGCTCCCTGCGACCAGTTCATCCACTTCAGGGCTGCCCTGTGGAAGGCCAGGACCCGGCTCATCAACGGACGCCCAGACCCTACAGGCAAGGACCGTATTAATATGGGACTAAGTAAAGGGCACTGGTACTGCAGGAAGACAGAAGAGGACCACAGGAAAGAAAGAGTAGAGCTCACCTGGTGGCAAGGGGTCTGGCATACACTGTTTCAGGGGCAAGCCCTCTGAGGAGGGCTGTGAGTGAGAGTATGGGTACGGAGACGGGTGCACGGTGCAAACTGTATAACAGGTTTTTAATGGTTTAACTGTCAAAGTGTGCTTTGATCTGCCAAGTGAACCACAAAGGCTACTTAGCAAAGCGTTGGAGGTGAAATTATATATTTATTTATTTTTTTGGGGGGGGGAAAAGGATGGGTAGGTGAGTCCCCTGCGCACTGCCGCCAGCCCCACTGCCCCCGGGCCATGCACCTCCGTAGCCCGGACTCTGTGGGGCTGCCCTGCGGGGGTCCCGCAGCAGATGCTCGAGTGGTGTGCCAGGGGCTTGTGTGGCCTGGGAGCAGCTGCCTGCACACTGCGGGCCAGAGCCGGGGGGATGCCCGCGGCCATAGGAGTGGGCTGCAGTGGCTGCGGCAGGCTGCCCTGGCGGGAGCTCTTGCCAAAGGAGGGGGCGGGGGTGGGGGCGTACCAGTAGTAGAGCGAGTAGTTGGCAGCCGGCTGGTCCTCCTGGTCGCCCCACATGCAGGTCATGTACTCGTCATTGAAGACCACGCACTTCACACCTGCAGGACGGGTGTGAAGTGAGCAGAGCAGAGTGGCTGAGCTGCTGGCCTGGGGACCCGGCAACCCGCAGTAAGTTCCCAGCTGGGGCAGCACAGGCCGCAGAGCCCCCGGAGAAGGCCGCGCACCTGGGTTGGCAGGATGTGCTGAGCTGGCTCGGGGCTGTCCCTGCTGCCCACCCACCGTGCTGTCCTACCCGCACTAATCGTGCTGTGTGCCCAGGACAGATGCCAGCCAGGCCCTGCACAGGCCGGGGGCTGTGGCGAGCTCAGGAGAGCCCAGCTGAAGGATGGGGCGAGATGCGTCAGGGGTCAAAAGGCATCTTACGTGGGCAGCCCGGCCACATAGGCTCTGCGGTGCTGGACAGGCTGGGGCAGGCGGAGCCAGGACTGCACGCAAGCCTGGGTGGCTGTAGCAACACCCGCAGCCCACGTAGGAGACCTGCTGATGCGCAGCAAGGTGGGTTTGTGCTCCGGGGTCTCTCTGCCCCCTGGGCTGGACCCCAGGGAGCCCCAACCCGGCACAGGAGACTTCATCCTGACACATCCCGCAGTCCGCCCTCTGCCAGAGGCACAGCCGTGACCTGCCGGCTTGGTCCAGAGCTTCCCACTGCCTCGGCTCTGCTGGGGCAAGGCTGGACCGGGCTGGACCTCGGCTCTCAGCTGCGCAGGCAGCCCAGTACTGACTGGTGCCGGGTCACTGCCAGACAGCTCTCTCTAGAGCCCCTGGAGCGAAAATGCCCTGCTTTGGCTGCTTCTCGCTGCAGGGGCCCGTGGCGGGCGGTGTAGGGGGTGAATGCAGCCCCAGGGTGCCTGGAGCACCCTGACACGGCTGCTTGTGCTGCCAATGTGGCTGGGTTCAGGGGAGAGGAAAGGAGGTGTTTGGGGTGCCCGGGAACTTCCAAAGGCAGCTGTCTCGTGCATGGGGCCTGGGACATGGGCACCACGTGGGCACAGAGGCTGTAGTGAAGCAGAGGTGCCCACGCGCTCCCTCGGCTACAGCCCACGCCGCGCTGGGTGCCTCAGCTCCGTACCGAACCAAGCCTCTGTCTTCCTGGCTGCGGAGCGCTACCCGGGACCTGGAGTCCCAGGCCTTGCAGTCGCAGCCCCAGTGCTGCTCCTTGTGCAGACAGGCCTGGGCCGGGCCCTAGCCTTGCAGGCGGCTGAGTCAGGCCCTGCTGCATGCTTCGCAGGCCAGCAGGTGGGCGGCTGCCTGGAACCCCGGCTCCCTCGTGCAAGGAGCTGCTCCCCGTGGCCTGGCCCTCGCGCCCTGCTCTGGGCTGCACGTCTGTCTTGTCCAGCCAGCTGCCTGGGGACATTTCAGCCACCCCGCTGGCTGCCGGAGCTCCCCTCCAGGCCTCTCTTCCTCTCCGCAAACCACGCGGCTGGTCAAGGCCGCAGGGCACCACGACCCCTGGCAGCTGCACCGCTCACCCACAGGCACAATGGCATTCGTACCAGTGGCCAGGCACAGCCGGAGAGCCATGGTCAGAGCTGCCAGCAGCCCACGCCGGAGTGCTCGCCTTCACCACTTCGGGGTGGACACAAGGGCCGTCCACCCTGAGACGAGCTGACCAGAGAGCTGGCTTCATGCTGCTTCTGACCCTGGAAGCCACCTACCCCAGAGGCAGAAGCAGGCTAGAGAGGAGCTTGCACTCGGTGCCTCATGCCCGCCGGCTCCAGCCTGGCGAGCGCGGCGGATCTGAGTCTGGCCGACTGACGTGCTGCTCCCGGCCGCGAAGCAAGGGTAGGGGCTGCACAGAAGCCAGGGACATCCCAAGCCCTTCCTACCCTGCCCCATCCTTGCTGCCGCCGGGCTTGGGCCTGCCAGGTGCTACCCACGGGCAGTGGGGGGTTCCCAGGGGGCCTGACCCTGCATGACGTGTCCACCGAGTCCTGTGGCTTCCTGGACAAGAGGCCGCAGAGGCTGCCTTGGCGCTGACGTGAGTGCGGGTTGGAGCAGACTCATGCCGAGGCGGCTCTGCTGCTGCAGCCGTGCGCCTCTGTCCAGATCGCTATCAGGCCTCACATCCTGCCGCCCCCTCCCCCTGGCCCCCGCTCCACAAGGGGCTCGGCGAAGCTCCGTCCTGTCGCACTCCCACGTCCTGCAGCGAACAGCTGGGGGGCGGCCAGGAGCCAGCCTGCCAAGCATGGGGCCTGGCACCCTCGGGGTCTGCATTTCAGCACACCCCCATGATGCATGGGGGGGATGGGCCGACGGGTTTGCAGGGGGGAGAATCAGCGATGAGACGAGCCCATGGCTACTTGCCCAGGGGTCTCTGCCGTGCCAGAGCAGGGGGAGGCAGGCACGAAATGGCAGTGGGATGAGATGCACAGGTGGGCACAGGGCATCCGTGTGCTGGGAATGCCGGGCAGACCCGAGCTGGGCCACGCTGCCCTGCGGATGCCGACCCCCCGCGCATCCGGGCGATCAGTGACCGTGGGGGGCTCCTGGGCATGGACAAGCAGAGCCAGGCCATGGTGGTGGCTGGTAGAAGCTGCAGCTGTTGCCAAGGGGAAGGGCACTGAAAGGAACAACACGGGGGCCCAGGAGTGAGAATGGGGCTTCGTCCAGGAAGGCGCTGCTCGGCCACCTCAGGTTGGCAGAGCCAACGCCAGCTAGGCCCGGCCTGAGGAACGAGGCTTGGCTGGACTGCAGTGCCTGCAGCCACTGGGCAAAGGCTGCGACGGCTCAGGGGGAAGAAGCGGGGGGCTCCGGCTGGGGCCCAAGCCCCGGGC